CGTCGCGCCGCCCGCGCCCCGAGCAGGCGCGCGCGCGCGCTCCACCGGCTCGCGGAGGACCTCGACGCGCCGGGCGGGGCAGGACAAGAGTGATTCAACGTCGCTTCAACGTGAGTGTTCCGCGCGCGCGCGTTCTGGAAAAAGCATCCACGCTTCGAGACCGTTCCGAGAGATGATCGCTCGTCCAAAAGTCAGCCGAAACGAGTGGAAACCGGCCGAGAGAGGAGCCTTTGAAGTTGGGAATTTCGCACCCTTGTCCTGCCCAGGCGCCGGGCGCCGCCGCCGCGGACGCGACGCTCGCGGCGAGCCTCCGGGTCTTCGCCGTGCGCGACGCCGAGGCCGCCGTGGCCCGCGCGCAGCGCGAGGGCCCGCCGGGGAGCGACGCGTACGTCGCGGCCCGCGCGGGACGCGCGCGACGCGACCTCGCCGGACGCGCCGCGCGACGCGCGCGCGCCGAGAGACGACGGTCCGATCCGTCCCCGAGCTCGGCCGAGGCGACGTCGGCGCGGCCGAGCTCGAGCGGTCCGACGCGTCGCCGGACGGGGCCGGTCGTCCCCCGCGCAGGCCGCGGACCTCGCCGACGAGAACCGGCCCTGCCACGCGCTCCTCGCGACGCTCGGTGTGGATTCCACCCACCGGTTTGGGGGGTCCCCACCGAACTTCGGAACTCTCGAGCTCGGTCACATCGAAGTCGATTCGGCTGATGTTTGGACGGATCGATTGCTCTCGTCGAGTTCTCGAAGCACAGCGAAAGAGTCTGGTCCGAATCGTTCGATGACGCGCACATTGAAGTCGGTTTGAAGATTCGAGTTCCGCGCAGGCGACGCTCGGCCACGTCGCGCTCCTCGAGGCGGACCTCGGCGACCGCGTCGCCGTCAAGCACAGCGTCGTCTGCGCCGGCCTCGGCGCCTTCGCGACGGCGCGCGTCCCCCGCGACGCGTTCGTCGGCGCCCGCGCGGGACTCCGGGCCGACGTCGACGCGCGCGCCGTCGAGCGGCGCGCGCCGGGCCCGCGCGGTCGCGCGCCGAGCGCGCGGCGCGCGCGCGCGGCCCGCCCGGACGCCGGCCGCGTCGACGGCGGCCGCGCGGCCGCGCGCCGCGGCTTGGCCGGCGCGCCCCCCGCACCGGCGGCCGGGTCCCGCGCAGGTCGGCGTCTACGAGGGCGAGGCGCTCGACGCCGCGGCCTTCTCGGCGCGCTACGCGGACGCGCGGCCCGCCGTGCCGAAATCGACCGCTGGGTGGGCTCGTCCAACCGAGCTTCAGACCTGTCTCGCTCGGTCACGTCGAAGTCGTTTCGGCTGATGTTTGGACGGATCGCTGTCTCTCGGCGGGTTCTTCGGAGACGGCGAAACGACGACGTCACGACCGCGCGACTCCTCGCACGTCGACGTCGTGTTGCACATGTGTGTCTCCCGCTCAGGCGGCCCGACTGCGTCTTCCAGGTCCACGGCGACCTCTTCGTCGACGCGGCGCGGTCCGCGCACTTCTCGCGGTTCCTGAACCACGCGGACCGCGGCACGCGGCCCGCGAACCTCGCCGCGCACGCGACGGCGCCCCACGGCGGCTTCCGGGGCGCGGCGCTCGTCGTCTGCTTCTACGCGACGCGCGACGTCGCGCCGGGCTGCGCCGAAGTCAACCGCTGGTTTGGGCGGTCCCGACCAAACTTCAGCATTCTCCAGCTCGGTCACATCGAAGTCGATTCGGCTGATTTGTGGACGAATCGATCGCTCTCGTCGAGTTCTCGAAGCCCAGCCGAAGAGGCTGCGTCGACACTGTCGCGTACGCTCACATTGAAGTCGAGTTGAAGATCTGAATTCGGCACAGGCGCCGGGCGAGGAGCTCCTCTTCGACTACGGGCCCGCGTTCTGGGAGGGCCGCGACGACGACCCGCCCAACGTCGCCGGCGACGACGCCGCCGCGGCCGGGCGGGGGGGGGCCTAGGGCGCGCGCGCTGGTTCGGACGGGCCAGGCCCGAGGCCTTGCCCGAGGGAGGGCGAGCGGACTGCGAGCGGCCGCGGCCACCGCGCTCCTCGGATCCCCGGCGAGCGAGGCGAGGCGACCGGAGAGCTCGTCTCGGGGTGACCGCAGCTCGACATCGTCCGCGCGGCGGCCCCGATGTGGCGGCGCCTGCGCCTCGCCGGGTCCGCTGTCTCGCCGGCCCGGCGCGTCGCGACCTACCCGCGGCTCGCCGTCGCGGCGCGGGCCGAGGGCGACGCCGGGTCCGCGGCGTCGCGGCGCCTGCGCGCCGCCGGGCGCGTGCCCTGCGCGGTCTACGGCGTCGGGTCCGACGGCCGCCGCGACCGCGTGCTCGGCAGCGTCTGCGCGCGCGACCTCTGGCGCGAGCTCCGGGCGCGGCGCGAGACCGTCGAGAACACGGTCTACGAGGTGTCCGTCGACGGCGGCGCGCCCGAGCTCGCGCTCCCGCGCCAGGTCCAGCTCCGCGCGGCGTCCGACGACGTGCTCTCCGTCAACTTCCTCCGCTTCGCCCCGGGCGCGCGCGTGACGGTCCCGCTCCGCTTCGTCGGCGCGTCGTCGAACCCGCTCCTCAAGCGCGGCGGCTACCTCCACCGCGTCGCGCACGGCCTGCGCTGCGTCTGCGGCAGCGCCGACATCCCGAGCCACGTCGACGTCTCCGTCGCCGCCGGGGGCAAGAACCACGTCTTCCGCGCGCGCGACGCCGACCTCCCGCCGGGCCTCGAGTTCCGCGGCGACGGCGACGCGCCCCTCGCGGTCATCAAGACGAAGTAGGCGCGCGCGACCGGCCGCGTTAGGCAAGCCCGGGGGGGTCAGGCACCGGCCCGGCCGTCGTCGCCGCCGCGGCGGCCGCGGCGCCGCGGCGCCGCGACGGGCTGCCAGGCCTCGTGCAGGGGCGGCGCGACGTCCGGGTCCGCGATGTCCGCGAGGTCGACGCCGTCGACGTAGGTCCGGCCGTCGTCGCCGACGCCGTCGGCGACGGGCGCGGGCGCCGCGGGCGCGGGCGCGGCGCCCGCCGCGGCCGCGGGCGCCGCGGCCGCGGGCGCCGCGGGCGCCGCTCCGGCGTCGCCCGGCGCCTCGCGGCCGGCCGCGCGCGGCGGCGTCGGCGCCTTCTTCTTCCGCCTGGCGCCGCCGCTCGGCGCCTTCTCGGGCTTGCCGCGCCGCCGCCGCGCCGCCGCGGGCGCGCGCGACGCCTGCGCGCCGTACGTCACCGCGGCGGCGGTGAGGAAGACGACGAAGACGCCGAGGCAGAGCTTCTCCAGCGGCTCGGAGAACGTCACGCCCATGCTTTCGGAGGGACGGGAGCGCCGCGGAGCCGTCCGAGGGCGAACGCGCGCGGGCCTCGACGTCGCCCGCGCGGCGGAGGCGCCGGCAGACGACGGAGCTCAGGGACCGGGACCGGAGGCGACGCGGGGCACGCCCGCGAGGGCGACGGGTGCGTGACCGGTCGCCGCGGCGTGCGGCGCGCGTCGACAGGCGTCGTCGCGGCGTCGTACGGGTAGATGCTGCCGTTCACTTGAACTCAAGCCCTACGCGCTCCAATCGCAGCCCGGGGGGCCACCTCGTCCGCGTACGTCGCGATGGGCGCCTACGACGACGACGACGGCGCGGTGAAGATTTCCAAGAGCCAGTTATTCATCGGCGGCATCTCCATCGTGCTCTGCTCCCTCCTCGTGCTGAGCCGAAGCAACGGCACGCTCGCCTGCAGCAACCCCGGCGACTTCGACATCGGCGCCTACCGGGAAGCGGCCCTCGCGAACACGCCGCCGAACATCATCGAGTGCGCGGGCGCCGAGGCCGGCGGGTCCCAGGAGCTCTGCCACCTCCCGCGGGACGAGCGCTACGGCGCCATCGGCCAGAAGGGCATCACGCTCTGGATGACGGGCCTCAGCGGCTCGGGCAAGTCGACGATCGCGGGCGCGCTCGAGGAGCGGCTCGTCCTGGAGCACGGCAAGGTCGTCCAGATGCTCGACGGGGACAACGTGCGCACGGGCCTCAACCGCGACCTCGGCTTCTCGCCGTCGGACCGCGCGGAGAGCGTCCGCCGCGTCGGCGAGCTCGCGTGCCTCTTCAACGCCGGCGGCGTCATCACGCTCGTGACCCTCGTGTCGCCCTACCGCGCGGACCGCGACGCGGCCAAGGCGCGCCACGGCGACATGGGCCTCAAGTTCCTCGAGGTCTACATGAACGTGGACATCGACGTCGTCCAGGCGCGGGACCCCAAGGGCCTCTACGCCAAGGTCAAGGCCGGCGAGATCACGTCCTTCACGGGCATGTCCGAGGACGCGCCCTACGAGATGCCCCTCCACCCGGACATCGACCTCCCGAACAACGAGATGACCATCGACGAGTCCGTCGACATGCTCATGGAGATCCTCACGCTCGAGGGCGTCCTCGTCGGCAACTAGCGCGCGCGCCGCTAGGCCCGGCCTCGGGCGCGCGGGGAGGGGCGGGGGGCGGGTGGGGGACGCGAGCGGGCGCGGCGTCACGGCGACGAGGGCCGCTCCTCCGTGATGTCCTCGGGGATGTCGACCTTCGTCGCCGTGTCCGTGCGGCAGACCGCGCGCGTCGGCGTCACGGGCCCGCACCTGCGACCCCGGCGCGTCGCCCGAGGCCCCGCGGGGAGGGGGAAAAACCCGAGGCGCGTCGTTTCCTCCCCCCCCGTCCGGCAAAAACTTCAAACCTCTCGAGCTCGGTCACGTCGAAGTCGATTCGGCTGATGTTTGGACGAACCGATCGCTCTCATCTGTCGACTACGCTCACGTTGAAGTCGTGTCGACTATTTCGGTTCCCCCCGCCCGGCGGCGCGCTGGGGGAACGCGGTCTGCGACTTCGCGTGCAGGATCTCCGCCGCGTGGCTCTTCGTGTCCGTGGAGAAGGCGAAGCCGAGCTCGTGGTCGTGGCGGCTGTCCTCCTTGCGCACGGAGGGGCGCGAGTCGCGGTAGTCGGACTCGGACCTGCGCGGCGCCGCGTCCCCGCGCGCGCGCGGCGTCCCGCGGGGGGGGGCGCGGGCGGCGGACGCGCCGTCGCCGCCGCGCGCGGGCGTCGCCGGCGGCGCGCTGCCCATGGGCGACAGCTCGAGGCCCGGCGCGCCCGGCGGCGGCGCGGGCGCGCGCCGCGGCGGCGACGCGCCTGTGGCGGAGGGCTCGCCGGTCATGGGGTTGCGCTGGGTATCGCTTTCGGCTGCGCGCGGGCGCGGGAGCGCGCGTGAGCCGGGCGCGTGGGCGCGCGCCCCCCCCCCCCCGCGCGGCGCGCGGCTTCGCCGGGCGCGGGGCGACGCGCGCGGCGCGAGGCCCTCG